CGTTGTTCAAAATCGAAACTTTTTCTTTACTATTGTGACGCTGATCTGTTCTTTGCTAACACATTCGGTCGATTGCGCACGTCGGTAACTTGAGATACGAGTCAGTTAGAAAGAGGTTTTCCTGTTATGTTGTCCACTCAATGTAGCTAATGCTTCCTCGCTATGGACTTGCATGCTTCACTATACTGCTGTTTGCGTTTACATCTAATCTTGATGAAGCGGGTCTTCTGCAGTCTCTTGATTCGACCCGGGGTTGCTACTACGTCAATGATAGGATCGGAGTACATATTTAATTATTCGCTCAGTTAATTGCTCTGGAGCACCACTAAGCCAGCGTGCTGGGTCCGTGTTTAGGTCAATGAGATGCACTGGCATCCGCCCTCATGCTGCGGCCTTGGGCTTGGTTATCTTCATGGTTCTTAACTAGGCTGTCTCAATCGATCTCACTCATCTCGCAACCCTTATTAGCTTACTTCACTTCAGCTTTGAAGCATGCACTGTTCATGGAGGATTTTTTCCAAAGCAACCAGGTTTCGTTATTACAGTTAACCTCTTTCTATCTGGCCTTTTTTTCGTAGCTTGATGGACTAATAACTATTTTATCTGTTTCCATCTGAGGACTATGTTCTTGGACACCGGTCGTGCAAGCAAATAAATAAATAAAAATAAAAGTGGAGTGGTATGTGAGTGGAATGCGCACCTACACGCTTGTTCAAAAGGATTGACTCTGAACGCGTGCGCAGGCACGCCCACCGAGCCTTCAATCCCTCCAAAGTCACCTACTTGGTAACCAGAACAGTATGATAGGTCGAAGTGACCATATGCAATTAGACCTATACTGTTCGATTTGATCAGCTATGAAGCAAAATACAGAGCAGCGGTAGTGGGCAGGGCTCACGCGTGAGAGGCCGTAGGATCAATTCCCTGACGGGTGATTTGGCTACAACTTTGCTCAATGGGATTGCAAACGTCAGTCAGAGTTCTACGGGCTCCATGCGGTGTCGTTAGCAGATAGCGGCCGAACCTCTCAGAACCTTCTCGCAAATACGACCTTGTCCAGGTGATTATAGGAAAGCGTTGATCAAATAACGTAGTTGAGAGTCTTTTCCAACCATGTTGCCGCGAAAGCAAAAGGAAGACTCGTCAAGGAATCGATCCTACGACTGGACCACTACCGCTGCTCTTTTTTGCTGCATAACTTCGTTCAGAAATCGATTGGCAGATTTGGAAAGCAGATTTGAGGTTAGCGTCCAAAAACACAACCAACAGTATAAGTCTCATTGCATAGAGCAATTTCGACCCATCATCCTTTCGTGGAGAATTTTCATGGGGATAAAAAACACTGGTTTGTCCATGAGCTGGTTCTCCTAAGTTATTGAATAGACAAAATCGCACTCAAATGCCACTAAGATATGATGGAAGTAAGATGGATAGCGCAGCGCGGAAAGAAACTGATGCCAAGTGTCCATTGTTCGTTATTCGCTGAAGCACAAGAACAATAAATTAGCGACACCGAGCAAGCCAAAATAATGAAGCCATCCAAACGAAGCCTTATCAGTCGGTTATGATGCCTGCTCGCTAAATAATCTAGTAGCAAGTACTCGCCTAAACATCAAAACGCAGGTTCCAGAACATTATTGGCGCACTACCCAAGTAACGCTCACTTACTCGTAAAATCGTTGAGAAACGATTATGGACTAGGTCAGGAAAAACAGTGGATTTGTATAACAGGTACATTATGAAAACGTGACATTCTGAAAGCTGTGGAGCCTACAGCCACGATCCACCTTTGAAAAAAAAAGATGAAGGAAAACCGATGTACTGAACTTCTCTCATGTAGGGAAACGAAAGGTAAGGGTATGCCGTAAACATTGTATGAGGAGCTAAGCGAATGGGATTATATGGTACACTATACTGTTGTATATCTATTCATCAGAGATCGCATCCTAGCGAACTCTTCTCGTGTTGCTATACAAGGGAAATGAAAAGAAGACGAGGGAATGACAAAGGAAACACTATGTTCAGGAAACTACAGTGGAAAGCTGGGCAGAACACCAGGGCATACCCCAAAAATTTCCCTCGACATAGCAAAATGTGATCAAATGAATGAAACATTATTGTTGCCAGAGATAAATAAAAGTTAGGAGGGCAGCGTAATCCCATTACAGGCCCTGAAACACATTACTGACTCCCACACCTCACCACACACACAACACAAATAACGGCCATTTCTGCCAGACAATCCCGGTTGCCGGTTGAGAAGAACAAGAAAAAGGATAGGGATCTTCCGGAAGCTGCATGGAACGTATGCATGTCCTCTATGGGGAAGAGAGCATACGTTCCATGCAGCTGCAAGCATTTTGCAACAGCCTAATAGGCAAAATAACTAAGAAGAGCGAAGAAAAACAAAGTGAGAAGAAAACTGCTTCCGTATGGCAAAGACAGCAAAATTAAAAATTGTCCTGAATGGACAATCAAAGCATACCATTGGACAAAATACATTATAACTTTCGAACGATCAGAAAGAGTGTAATGCAAAAAAATTGGAACTGAGTGATGAAAATAAGAGTATCAAAATGGAAAGATGACGACACCTGTGCATCCTCAGGTCTGTAATCTTCATCTTCGTCCTCGTTTTCGAACTGTACGTCGAGAAATGTCCTTGGTGGAGCAACAGGTTTCAGTTCCACCTTAAAAGCATGGGTGGTCTTCCTAGGAAGCAATTCTACAGAAAAAATGAAACGATGGAGTTACTAAACCATTGAGTTAACTCTAGCAAGGAAAGAGGCTTACCTTAGCCGGTTCTGCGGTGTGCTTCACTTTAGAACGAGTCACTTTTAGACTGGGGATTCCGTCCGTATCGCCTTTTATACCCATTAACGTAGATAAAACATGGGGATCTTTGATAAGACGCTTGAATGTAATGACCATTAGTTAATAAGAAATTGGAAGTTATGTGACAAGCAAAAAAGAAACACACATGGAGGATTGACTTGACATTCAAAGCATTCAAGTTATGCATCTTTGCCTTTTCTTCGAGCTGGGTGTCGAGCCGTCGGCATAGATCAACAATATCTTCCTCGCAGTCAACATCTTCGGCTTCTGGTGAAGTAGGTAACGATGAATTGGCACAGACAGCCTTTCTGCAATGTAACTTAGAGGAAAAATAGCACCTTTTACAGGCATGGTTTGGGATATAGTTGGTGTGTAAGAACGCTCAACGTGAACACGGAGGTGGAGTGGACAGGAAGTAAAAAGGAAACGAGAGGAACTATGAAGAACACCAAACTACGGGCTTAAACCTTCTGTAAGATCGGCCGGTGTACGGCGGAGAAACACAGCGCGCAAAGAGGCTGGATGTGCGGAAGAGCACGCCGTATGAGAGGGCACAGATACCCGACGCTACAACGGTCATGGTCACTAATTAGGAACATTGGCAAGGCCCTCCAGCTTTGGTCGCTGTGTGGAGGGCGGGTCAGTAACCTTCCTTGGCAGGCAGTTCTATCGTACCGAAGGGATTACTCTAGCGGTCTAATCCTGCGGCATCCTTCAACTACCAAGAGTTGCATTTCGATGGGCCCAATGAGTGCCCTGTGCCGGCTATATGCAACAACTTCCACGTCAGTAACACCAAAATAAATAGATGTTTGTCTGTGCGAGTTTGATAATTTCCACTTATTTGAGCTAGGCGGTGCCATTACGAATAGGTTATGCTCAAGTGCGAGTGGCCGAATTTTGACCCTGGCTCATGAACACCTTGAAACAACCGAAATTCAGATGGGAAGAACTGGGAGAAGCGATACTCTGAAGTACCATATAACAGCAAGTGAAACGACGCCTTTGTTTGGCAATGTCTTGCAAAATGACAACCGAATTTTGAATGGTGTGCTGTACAATAGCAGACTACCAAAATTTATACTAAGTGAGTTTCACTTATAACAGCACATCATGTAGACCAACAAGAATCTTCGGGACACAATAACAGTGCAGAAATAAAGTACTGAAATTACCTGTCATCACCATGGCGGCTGGCTTCTCGGGATTCTTGCGGCTGAGAGGAGCAGCATGGTTCATTTTCTATCATACCTCTGTTAACTGGAATGAATTAACGTTTAATACACAGCTTCCTATCCAAAACCAATAAAGACGAACCAAGAGGTTTCTATGTGCACCACTTTATTCCATAGCAGCAATTATGGGTCAACATTAGATGAAAGTGAAAAAGAAATCCTTGGCAATATTGGCTGTTACAAATGATTTTCAAAAATTTTGTTCTCGCCGAAACTGGTTGTAGTTCGCTAAGGTAGAAGGCGACGTTTCTGCTTTTCGCAGCGCGAAAGTTTTTTGCAGCGGAAACAACACGTCCACCACTGATCTGGAGTGGTCCTGGTCCTCGCAAGGAGAAAAGTTTCGCGTGGGGAAAGGGAAAAGTTGCTTTCTGTCTTAAGGAACCACACCCGTCTTAAATTCTTAGGCGTGGCGCAAGCAACGCCCAGTCCTGCTTCAGGCCGATGTCAGACTTTGCGAATCGCGCGATTCGCTAGCGTCCGCGGTCGCGTTGCGGTACCAGCCAATTGAGTGATTCACTGGCCGCGACGCGACCGCAGACGCTAGCGAATCGCGCGATTCGCAAAGTCTGACATCGGCCTTACCTGCACGTGGAAGAGTCGTCAGTAAGAGTGAAAAATATGCGCTAAACAGTGGTGAAGACGAAACGAATGTCGCATTACTATCAGGACCAAACTATATCTGTTAGCTTGAAAGCGAATTTAGTGAAAACAAGTTTTGCACCGAACTGATGCAACACGGCTCAGACGCCCAACGCCAAAAATGCATTATACATTACTGGTACACCCATTAACCGCTGGGCGCGAGGCTCCTAGGGGGCCAGTCTGTCGGAATGGCCTTCGAGGGCTAAGCCTAATGCAGAGAGGACGAATTCCGGAGCGAATGAAAATTGCTTACGCAGCTCGGATTCCCTCTTTTCCTCCAAAGCTTAGTCCCAAAACTGAAAGTTTTCGTGAATCTGACGCAATGTTACAGGCTGCCAACCCCCGGGAGCCACATTGCGCCAACCTTCGGCGAAAATAAACTTCTGCAAGATTATTAGTTGAAGTATCGGATGGCACCGAACTCTCCAACGACAATATTCCAAGCAAACTATTGTAAGCAGCGGTAAATAAACACGTCGATTAGATAACACTACACTACTTATGAAAGTAGCGCTAGTTAAGTGGAAAAACAGAGAGCACATTTGAACATCAGCGAGCGGGAATAAAAGGGTCCGAACTTGGGCGCTCGCACAAAAGCCTCCTGCGATTGCGTCGCGTTCAATTGTTACCAGAGCGCTCAATTGTCCACTTGCGCAGATAGGGAATTGGTAGCATTGTTTCCAATCCAACGGTCCTATCACAAATCAAACGTGGCTCAAGGAAACGATGACCACAGTTCTCAGTTTGGAAGACTCTAGTGTGAACTGAGCTCTTATTAGGATTGCATGCCTGGTACAGATGATGCTGTTCACAACTGTAGGCTTCTATGGTTTCACATTTCCTCCGCTTCGTTAACATCAAAAATGAGGTATTCCTGATCTGCTGATTCGTTAAAGGCAAAAGTCGGGCTCAATAAGGGGGTATTATGGCGATTGAAACTGAGTATAGAGATGCGAAGTGGAACGACAGTGGAGAAAAAACTGAGAAAAACCGTCGACAAGGCCGTTAACAAAACCCTCTTTCCCACTAGCAGTGAAGGAGGCTGGCTTGGGGCACGTACAAACAAGTTTTCTGGAGATGTCAGTCGTTCTATCGGTTGATACGGCAATCAACCTAGCTGATTTCACACGTTATGCCAGCCACGCACCACTTCCGGAGGTGGGCGGTCCTGGATTGACCAGGCGGCCCGGATTGAAACCGACGGCCCCGGGGCCTTAACGACGTTTTTCAAGGTGGGAAGTTGCTGCAATGTGTGCAGCTACCCACATACAACCTCCAGGCACGGGAATTACTTCTCTAGCGTGCCTGAGCCCGACCTTTGCCTTTAAGGTGACAATCAGGAAAAAAGTTGTCGGCTCATGATCTTATCAAACGCTTTGGCGAGGGGCCATATGCTGTATTCTCGTCATGAAGGAGTGAGCAATTCTTTCAAATCTACTTGTACTTCCAAACAATTCCTTTGTGTTGGGCACATTTTAAGTTTTACCTGCGAATAAATTAGAAATGCCCCCTTCTCTGGGAGTCCCGTTTGTGAGAACAGTGACAGTGAATAGTGAAGTCAACTAAATGGGATATCCGTGATCCTGGACGGCTAAACAGTGCTGAGGTTCATTTTTACTCCGGGCTCGTCAGACCACTTCGGAATACGGTTCATAATTCGCCCGGGTTTGAAACTTCACCAGGTATAGATTTGCCTTAGTAGTATCACGACTGCAAGACTTTCATGGTTGCTGAAAACTTGGCCTATCCATCAGTTTACTTCGAAGCTATATCTTATCGTTAAGGTAAGTGTCTTTGCGGAAAAGTAATTAATGGCGAATTCACTCTAAAAGCAACAATAAAGGCAGCGATTACGATAGGTGCTGCAAGGGTTCAGAGGAGACGTGATGGTGCTCAGAGGTACGCCAGTGGCGAAAAAAGCAGAAAAATCCGTCAAGAAAACGCAAAACGGGACCCCTTTTTTGGCTTGGTTTTCACTCATGAACAGGTAACAGCTCAGAAAGCGGACGTATGAACGAGTTCACCGCAACGCGTTTGGTGGCACCATGCCAAACCACGCTCCAATCGAGTTGCCCAGTGATGCTGGCAACGCTGCTCGTCCAAATCACCAACTGAATCGCTTTTAGGGCGGAGCGCTGTCGAGGTCCTACTCAGCAACCAGCACACCTTTCGTCGTGAAAGCGCTCGTATCGGCCAAGCAGCTGCTTCGTGTGGTACATATGCTTCCCCTTTATCGTAATCGTTCCTTCAAAGGCATTTCTCCAGGATCGCATTGGTGTGGCTCTTGTCCACAAATGCGTATAGGCCGGCAGGTACGAAAAATGGAAAGGATCAGTCGAACACGCTTTGTTAAGGGCTCA